AATAAAATCAACGAGTGACTTTTTCGGCAACCTCTGTATGATCCGAATAAGGATAAGCAACCCGTGATACTGACCTATATGTTGCTGTTATACCCTGTACAGTAGCTAGAGATGTGCGAATCAAGAATTTTTATGTCGAATCGAATCGAATCGAATCTCATTTTTTAAATTCGAATTCGAATCGAATGAAATCGAATCGAATCATTAAACAATTTAACATGACTATTGAACATGCAAATAATGATGGAAGATTTTAATATGAAAGGGAATATTGATATTGTAATATCATCTTAAATTAAAATATATATTTAAATAATTAAAATAATTTAAAATTAAGTTATTAATTATAAGTTAAGTTAATTACAAGTTAAGGGTTTAAACATACACAGGCTCAGATGGCCCGTTTGCTGCAGCTGATGCACGCAAACGATAATATATTTGACTCCTATTCGAATTATTCGGATTGGAATTATAGGGATTCGGATTCGAATCGAATCAAATCGGATCTAATGTAATTCGATTCGATTCGAATTCGAATAGTTCGCACATCTCTAACAGTAGCCTTATCCTATGCGACTGGGTTATTAGGATTTTTTTAATTTTGCGCGCGATACACATTTTTTATTACTTATTAATTATCCTGAGAAAAGGGAACGATTCTGTGAAAGCGATCCCATACATTTGTCAGCTTTATGTTAATTCCTAGAAAGGAATTCGCGCGATTAGAAAATACCAGTAATCTTGTGCTGAATGTTGAAGTTATTATCTTGTCTGTGCACGCTGAGGGAAAGAAATACTTAAAAAGCGAAGAATATTCGTATTATTAGGGGTATGTCAAAGTTCCCATCCTTTTCAAGGCAGTGTTTTTCATTAATATTATTATAAATGATATAGTATCTTTAATCAAAATATTTTCTGACATTATCTGCTATTTTTTGCCATCTTTCAGGCAAAAGATGGATGCCACGATAAAAGAAACTTTTGCTCTTACAATGAATAACGTTCGGCGTTATTCGAAATGTTCGACGAATTGTTGCACTTTCTCAACATTGCAAAATCGTGTACCAGAAGGATTATGCTGCATAGAACGAAATAAGCGAAAAGCTGATGAGGCAATATCTGGAGAATATGTCGGATGTGGTAGGACTTCCCATTGCAGTTCCATTAAAGTTCCTCGGGTCGTCAATGCAACATGGGGCTTGGCATTGTCGTGCAGAAGAAACTTTGTTTTACTTTGATGCAAAATATGGCCGTTTCTCGATCAATTGCTCGTTCAACTACCTCAATTGTCGACTGTATAATTCCGCGGTGATAGTCCGAGATTCTTTTAACAGCTCATAATATAGCACTCTACATGTCCCACCAGAGACATAGGATGACTTCATGACCATGGATATTTCGTTTTGGCTGTGACGTCTCCGGGATTTATCCACGATCTTTTGTGGTTGGGATTGTCAGAACAAATCCACTTCTCGTCTCTGGTCACAATTCGATACAAAAAAGACTTGTGTTTGCGTCTATTGAGCAGCGAAAGGTAAATGGTGGCTCGGCTCGCAATAGCAATAGCTCGGATAATTCATGAAGGGAACCCATTTTCTTCTCTCCAGAATTTTCCCCGAGCATCGAATTATAGCGTTCTGATTAACATGTAACCTTTGTGCAAGTTCTACATTCGATTGAGTCGAATTTTCTTGCAATAACGCTTCCGAGTTATCCGAACTCATTTCTTGCGGTCGTCCAGCACGCTCCTTGTCTTTCAAGTCAGAATCGCCATTTTTAAAGCGCCGAAACAACTCAGGACATGAACTTTGCTGTCGTTCCCTCACCGTAAGTTTTGCAAATAATTTTGGTTGCTTCGGCAGCTATTTTGTGCTGATGAAATGAAAAAACATACAATGACGAATGTGTCTTATCGACTTCCATCTTTACACGAATTAAAAATGTTTATGTCAATGAATATGACTTATTCTGCATCAGTTTCTGTGCAAATTGACCAATACTTGACATAATCTAACGAAAATGCGTTGCAATTTTTTTGTAAATAATTCACAGTGCCATCTGTACGTGAACGATGAAAACTTTTGCATACCCTTACTAATATTTTTACAGCGAGAATTTTTTTTTTAAATGGAAGAAATATATGTTTTCTTAAAATCATAGCTTTCTCCCCCAAAGAGAGAAAAAACATTTTCTTATATTATTAACATACATATTTTTGCACTGAGAAAGACTTTTTTTTTCAAAGGAAAGGTATGCATTTTCTTAAAATCGTAGCTTTCTCCCTTCAGGAGAGAAAAAATCGTTCGTTCTATTAAAAAACAAAGCCGTTTAGATTTAAATTGAATATATTATCAATATCTATCGAGCAGAGATATACTACATTTTTTAGATATTTTTTCTCCCTCAATGCATACAAGTGCGTACACGAATCGTTCATTGCTGACTCGACCCATTTAATGGCGAGATACCAAAGCGATTGAATTGTTCTACAGATCCGATGAGAGACTCTGTAGCCGCTTCTCTCTCTCTCTCTCTCTCTCTCTCTCTCTCTGTCTCTACTTCTAGCTCTCTCGGTTTATTGTCGATTGGATTCTGAATTCGCGTGGGAAACGAACGCGCCTCTGCAAACAATTGCGCTATGTAAATGGACAGCGTGTCCATGGATACCGGCTAGCGAGGAGAATCGCGAGGCAAACGGTTCGCGTGCACCTGGGTGCACGCGGCACCCGGTGTGTCGTCAACGACGTGATTTAATTTCGGCAAGAGGAAGGCGGCACCCTTCTGAAAGGAGACCCGCTACAAATTCACCGGTGTCGCAGTCACGATCGAAAGTCACCGCCGCCACCATCGCTGTCGCCGCCGCCACGCGCTGCCATAATGAATTCCTGTTGCTCGATATGTCCTTATTGCTGTTTGCCTTGCGGCGATGACATTCGTCGCTATAGGTACGCTACCATAATTACACGCAATGTAGACTGTTGTGTCATTTTTATACTTTTCCTTTTTTTTATCGAGCGTTCAGCTGTCGTCACGAAAATTGCGCGCGCGCGTATACGCGTCTACGATGACGTTGTGCGCGAGAAATTCTCCCCAACAATCATGAGACGTTTCGACTCTGAGGCCCGCACTAACAGGACGTTACTTGAAACTTGTCTCACATGAGACAGTTGGATTTGAAGTTAGAGTTAGATCTGAGGTTTTCGGTGAAATCGCGACAGCTAGTGCTACGTCACGCACGTCACGGAGTTCAGCCGAGAGGCTCGCGTCTAACTGTAAACTCAAATCCGGATATCGCAGTGAAGATGAGCTTCAAGTATGGGCACTGTCGATCACTGTTGATAGATTGAGAGAAAAAAATTTAGATGGTAAAAGATATTTAATTAATGGGTGCCAGCAACATATTTATTTAATGTACTTTGTACTTGAGGAATATTTCCACATTTCCTTTCACCAATTCGATAATTGTAAATATAATTTCTCCATTTTTAGGAAAACTACAAAAAAGGATCTTTATTTTCTTTAATCGTCGTTGCCGCATCTTATTGTTTTATTACTCTCTGTCTTCAAATCTTTTCGTGCCAGCGCAGCTGGCATTCCGAGCTACCGGAACAAGTATTTATGCCAGCTGTACTGGCATTCCGAGTTGCCGGAACAAGTGTTCATGCCAGCTGTGCTGGCATTCCGAGTGTAAAGGATAAAAACCTGAATTCCTCAGCAATCGCTTCTTCGCGAAAAGCTCTACGAGTTGTAGGAAAATATATATATTTTCTCACAAGAGAAGCATTTTCTCTCATTGTGAAAATATGTGCGTCAACGCGATCAAACATACCACCAGCAGCCCGGAACAAATATCTTTTATTTCTAGATATTTTTCTCTCGGTGGGACCTAAGCGAGTTGTGTCGTCGCGGCGAGGAAACTCGCGATGGTTGTCGCGATACAAAATTCCATCGAGCGCGCTGCCGTTTAAACAACACAAAAAAGGCACGACAATGAATTCTAGCACACACACACGCGCGCGCGCGCGCATTACAGAGATTACGTATTATTTATTTAATGAGTAGCATCTTGCTGCTAGAGGAAGAGGACGGGAGGGGGATTGCGACGTCGCAGCGATGACACTCCAGCGACGCGTTCATCGCGATTATTTATTCGCCGTGATTTTATACTTTCTTCGGCCAGATGCACTTTCTCCGCCTTCCGTGTCGTTAAATTGTAATAACCAGTTATTACCCGAGTCACTCGTCTCGCGGCCGTCAGGTTGCCGTCGTTGCGCTCGCGCTGGCTCCTCGCAACCCGAGCGCGTGCTGTTATGCTACGAGGAGCTCCAGGATATTTCGGATTGGCGGTTCGCTCGTAATTAAGATCGCGCGCGCGCGCTTATGCAACAATCTCGCGCGCGTGCCTCCGCGTTCGACGATGGCGCGTGCTCGCGTGCGTGGGCGGACGGCGGAGATTTTTCTGTTGCCGTAAGAAGAAAGCGACCGCTAATAAATCATAATCGATCGTTCGTTGCGAAGGATCACGCAATATAAACACGACGATCGCGTAACGTCGTCGACGTCGATTTTTCCCACGTCGATCGCGAATTCGAGCCGACGATTCAGATGCGATTTTCCCTCCCGAGCGGATTTCCCTCTCCCACGGGGGGAGAGAAGAGAATGTCCATTTCGAATTTCAATTGGTCGGAACGGCGAATACAGCTCTCGGAGTCCTTTCTCCGCTCGATTCGCCCGCGACTCTTCCGCAATTAACGATGTCCTTTGTGCGGACAGAATTCCGCGGGGCTCAAGGATCGTCTCCTCTCGTCGCGGCCGGTGCTCGCGGACGCCGTTGGAACGTGAAAGGATTCTACGTGTTAAATGTCAAATTATTCAAGCCGGCGCGCGAGTCGATCGGGGAGAAACCAGCGTTCACGCAATCGTGCGGACATTACGCACGCTGTTGCCCGTTCCCCCCCGACTTCGATTCGGAAAACTCGGGAAAGCAGCGGGGAACTCACCTCGACATCGCGACTCGTCTCTGTCTCTTTCTGTCAGGTCGGTGCACTCACAGACTCACGCCGTCACGTCACCGTTTCGCAAACAATTGCCTCTTCTTTCGGTCCACCGCTCGACCCTCCGCATCCCATATCAGACGCCCGAGTTCGGCTGTGCTCGTGTCGATGTTTTCGCCGCGGGTACCTCGGCGAGACTGACTCTGACTGACTGACTGACTGACTCGGACGGCTTGTCTTGCCTTCTTCGCGGCTGTTACCTAACTCGCCCGAGTCGGGCTCGGCACCGAGTCCGCCGCTCAGGTGGACACGGGAACCTCCTTCCTTCGTCCAGCCCTCGGTGTGACTAACGCTTCGCGGCAATTCGCAGTCCGCAGTCTGGGGAGAACCGTCCCGGTGAAAAGCTCCGCTCACGGGGGGCTCCTCTCACCCCCGTCGCGCCGACGTCCTCGAGCGGACTCGAGTCTCGCTCACTATCCGGGACGTGAGTGTCACTTCTCGACCGCGGGACTTTTCCTCTCGCATCACCGAGACTTCACGTTCACATTCTGCTCGTTATTGGGTCAGCGATGCGGCGGCTCGCGAGGCGGGGAGTCGCGTAGCGCTTACCGAGTAGAAAAATTAATAGGGCTCCGGTAAGGGTTTGATTATTTTTATTGAAGGAAATATTTTTATTACTGCTTAACCCTTTGAAGCACGAATTTTTCTATGCGATAATAAAAGAGATTGATTGTGTATTTAGGGGTGTTCTGGGTCACTGATTACGAATCTGGAGTCAAAATTTTAAAATCCAAAATGGCGGATTCAATATGGCGACTTTAAATGGCTAACTTTGATATATTATGGATTTCGGAAATCTGATAACAAATTCGTGATCAGTGACCCCAAAAAACCTCCATGTACCTACTTCTGTCGAAATCGAAGGATTTCGAATATTTTTGTCCACCATATTGGAAGCGCCATTTTGAATTTCGAAATTCTGACCCCGGATTCGTAATCGGCGACTTCAAAAACGTAAAATGAACAAGTTTCGTTACGACTTTTTATAGATTACATAAATGAATTTTTACTGAAAGATATGTAATTTTATGCAATTTCTTTATTTATAGGATGTTTAAATTAAAAAAAATTGATATTTTACATTTTTAGCATGTATATCAATACCTAACATATCGTAGAAGAACATATCTTATGAAAAAAATTCGGACGAAAATATAAAAAAAATAGCTTAAATAATTAAAAATGAAGAAAGAAAAGGTGGGCTTGTGGAATCCCACCATGCTTCAAGGGGTTAAGTAAAAATATTCGTTCTTTTTATTCCAAGAAATTTAGACTATAATTTCTTTACTTCTTTATAACCTTGTTAGTATATAACAAGAATTTTTTATTTTAAAAATATAGCATACCTTACAATGAAATATAGCATTCTTTACACAAAAATCTTGCTACTGTTTTTATTAAAGTTTGCTGCATTTCAAAACGAAGGCAGTACCGGTAAAAGTCTGATTATTTTTCCCTAACTAATTAGGCTCTAGTAGGAATAAAAAGACAAGGGCCTTACAAGATCTGTAACAAATTAACGGGTCCTTACAAGGCAATATTATGAGGGTCTTATGAGGCAATATCTACAGGGCCTTATAAGGCAATATTAATAGAGCTTTATAAGGAAGTATTTTTATTATTGCTTGAGTAAAAATATTCGTTCTTTTCATTCCAAGACATTTAGACTGTAACTTCTTTATGACCTTGTTAATATACAACAAGAATTTTTTATTTTAAAAATATAGCATACTTTACAATAAAATATAGCATTCTTTACACATAAAAATCCTGAAAAATGAAAGTAATATTAGACAAATCCTTGGAAGAGACTAATGAATATGGCAACTAATAAAACTAATAAAATTTGTTTTTAATTGCAGTATAATTAAAAAATCTTTAAAAGAACCAGATAGAGCGTGCCTACTAAAACAATACGAAATTATGACAATTTTATTACACGCTTCGGAATTTATTAATTTTCTATACAAACAAAATTTTATTTTATACATCTAAAGCATCCTTTTAAAAGATCCTTTTAAGGTCCACATTAGTTTTCCATGTTAAAGCATTATTTCGTAAAATCTAATGCATCTCTAATAATCTCCTTCTAAGGCCCTCATCAGTTTCCTTATCAAAGCCTTATTTTGTAAAATCGAAGGTATCCCTAAAAGATCCATCTTGGGGTCTGATGTAATAATGAGGCATCCCTTTTTAGATCATCTTATTTTCAGCCTTATCAGGGCCCTATACTTCATAAGGAAAACCCTAATAATTTTTTGCTCGGATTGCATGAAGACTGTATGGGTTATGGTGGTCCGTCGGGTTTGCGAAACTACGAGGGAGTCAGTCCAGATACGAAGGTCCTGCGATAAAGTCGCGTGTTTCCGTCTCGTGGCGTCGCGCGAGGTCGCGTTTCGCCTCTTCTCTATCGCGTGTGGGAGAAAAATTGACATTCCGTGTGCGTGAGATTTTGTGGGCGTTTTGTGGGCTTTTCGAAGCGTCTGAACGCGTAGCTTCGATCACATCGCTGCGGTCGGATTCCATGTGCTCAGTGCAACATGGTCGCTTCTATCATGTCGAAAACTACTCGGTTGATGTAACCGAATTTCAGTTACGACAACCGAAATCTTCCGTTTCTTGAGAATCAACTGAAAATTCGCTTGCAGCACAAGAAAAATTCTGCTAGAAAGTTCCTGTTACTCTAGAAATTCTGATACTCTAGTGTTCAGAAAAAAGATTCAGGACCTTAGGAGCAGGTAACATCCACAAAATGGAGGTAAAAGGTCCTCATAAACATGGTCGGAAAATTAATATTGTCGAAGTTATGAACAATTATTTATTTTAATTAAGGCAAGTAATTAACTTGCTTGTGATGCTTTTGTATTTTTTGACATAATTTATCTATATCATTTATCGGTGAAGAGAGTACTATGCTTTAAGAAAGTCCCTGAAAGAGGACTTCTCTTTTTGCTCTTGTTCGGAATGTAAACAAATATCTATCTATTAGACGTACAAATTAATTCGGTGCCTTTACATTTAAATCTTGTAATTCTTGTTCAAATTAAAATTTTTTTCCGTCCTATGGTAATTTAAAAGTGTCTACCTTAAACTTTAAGAAACACTATAGGGTATTCCGTAAGTCGAGGTAAATTACTCGGAAGATGAATGGGGAATCAAAAACAAGAAAGAAAGTTGATACAAATATAGGTCCGAAAAAGCGTTGTTTTCGAGTTATCGCTATTTTTAGTTAAAATTTGAAATTGTTTTCGAACTTTTTTATCAAAATTGGAACATGAGATGGTTTTTATGAGTTTAAAAACTAAAGTCAAAGTCAAATAAAAGTTGCAGGCTGCTTTAGCACTATCCAGGATGCACCACGTGGACGTACACTCCGTCTAGTATCCCTTGGCAGAGATCAGGATCTCACAGTTTGTCATTCCTGTGGTATTTAGTGACTCCAAACCCTCTCTGCCGTATGTATGTGTGTGAGAATGTAAAAATTATATGAGTTCGAAATGACTTCCTTCTGCATGAATGCAAGCTCTAAGCCTTCTTTCTAAGGAGTCCTGAACTGTTTGTAGCACTTCCGGATTTTCCCTAATGTTTCCAAATCCATTAGTTATTTTTTACTTCAGTTTATGGACGTCATTAACTGGTCGTTTATAAACAAAGGATTTTAAATGACCCCAAAGATAAAAATCGCACGGATTGAGGTCGGATGATCTAGGATGAGCTAGGAGGCTAGCGTACAGGTCCTCCAGTACCACGCCCTATCCATTGTCGTCCGAAGGGATGCTAAACTCCAGGCTGTACCTCCACATGGTGCGCATCCTGGGTAGTGTTAAAGCAGCCCGCAACTTTTATTTGACTTTAGTTGTGTTTTGAAACTCATAAAAGTCATCTTATGTTTCAATTTTAACAAAAAAGTTCGAAAGCGGAGCAATTTCAAATTTTAACCTAAAAATGGCGATAACTCGAAAACAACGCATTTTCGGATCTATGTTTGTATCAACTTTCTTGTTTTTGGTTCCCCATTCATCTTCCGAACGATTTACCTCGACTTACGGAACACCTTGTATATCGGGCTGGGAAATTCTCCCTCATGCGGCTTATTCGCCAGATCTAGTCCCGTCGGATTGCTCACCTATTTCGATCACTTCATCATCACATCATTTGGCTAATGAGCACTTTAAAACGCTTGACGAAGTTTGAAAAAGCATTAACGCCTTTATTGAATCAAAACTGCCAAGCTTTTGCCGCGAGGAGGGCATTTATTAACTGCCCGGTAGATGGAGTAAAGTCATAGAAAATAATGGAAATTCATATTAACGTTAAACTCGTATTTGACTTTTTGTAAATAAACTTTGAATTTTGTGAAAAAGGCACCGAATTAATTTGCATACTTAATATTTTCTTCCTATTTATATATAGGCTTTACCAAGCAATAGTTAGTTACATATCCTCGTAAAGAGTGAACAATTGCAGAGAACTGTCACAAAGTTTTCACAATACGGTAAGAATGACATCGTGTTACTTTAACCAAGAAATGGCAGAAATGCATGTCATGTGTGGCCGTGCATCAGAAACGAACATGAGAGAGAGAAGCGAGATCACTTGCTTTAATTAAAATAAATAAATTGTTCATAACGATAATATTAATTTTTCGACCTATGTTTGTTAGGATTTTTTCCTCTATTTTGTGAGTACTATCTGCCCTTAAAGAACCTTTTTTCTAAACACTTTGATCCCATGAACCGAACATTAATGTTGTCAAGATTTTATTTTTCACAAGTTTTATTTTTTATATAAAATTTTATTTTTCGGATAAAAAACGTTCCTGTAAGTGGAGGGAGGAAGACGCGCGGCCGGGTTGAAAATCGCATTACTAGACCTGTTTCGAAATCGGTTTTAGGAACTTTAGTTTTAATTATAAAGTTGGTAGGCTTTAAACTAACTTGGATAAGTTCCATAATTGATCAGCTGATCATGCTTGGACGTTACATGTACTATTTCTGCTTACAAACTTGGTTCAGTTATTAATTCTGCAATATTAGGTAGAGAAATATTAGGTAGAGAAACAGGTTTTTCATTATTACGTAGGTCTCATTACTTGTAGGTTTCATTACTCGTAGGTCAATCGGAAAGTTCCGTCCGTTTTTTTGCAAAACGTATGGCTTTATTTAAGAAATAAAATGAAAAAGTACATCAATCAAAATATTGTCCATCGTTAGTAGCGATGACTTTTTTCCATCTTTCAGTCAACAAGCGAATTCCGCGGCGAACTCATCTTTGAAG